ATTTTTTTTTTTTAGAGTTTTTTTCGCTATAGGGCGTGTGCGCTCGCCAGACAGAGAGAGACATAGAGACAGAAAGTGAGAAATCACCCCCCAGGGGGGATGGTCACACCACAATCCCTTCTCCTCCATTCTCCTCTCGGGATCTTGGGCACACACGCACACGCGCCCGGCGTGAGTTTTAAGCCACCGGGTCCGGGACACGAACCGCGGTCGACTATGTGGGAGTCCAGCGACATAGCCATTACGCTAACTGCTGGTTCCCACCAGTGTGATTTTCAAGTCACGGGACTTGAATAACATAGTCGAACATGTGGGATCCATAACCTTCATGCCACCTGATGGCACCTAAAAATGTTTTTAAACTTTTCTATTTAAAAAAAAAAAAATTGGAGGACCAGCAGTTAGCGTAATGGCTATGGTGCTGGACTCCCATGTAGTCTACCACAGTTCTAGTACCAGACCCGGTGGTTTAAACTCACGCCAGGCATATGTGTGTGTGTACCCAAGATCCCGAGAGGAGAATGGAGGAGAAGGGATTGCGGTGTGGCCATCCTCCCAGGGGGTGATTTCTCGCTTTCTGTCTCTCTGTCTCTCTCTGTCTTCCTGGCGAGCACACGCGCCCTATAGCAAAAACCTCTCAAAAAAAAAATTTTAGCGAGTTTTTTTGTGATAGGGCATGTGTACTCACTGGAGACAGAGACAGAGAAAGCAAGAAATCACTCCCCAGGGGTATGGCCATATCATAATCCTTTCTCCTCCATTCTCTTCTTGGGACTCTGGGCACACAGACACATACACACGGTTTTTATTTCCCCCTCTTTAAAATAATTATTAATTTAATTAATTTGTTATTATTCTTCAATTTGACCAGAGAAAGACAGAGGGAGAGTGAGAAAGCAAGCCTTCAGGTCCAGAACTTGAACAATGATTGGCCACGTGAGAGTTCAGTGCCTTAACTGCCTTGCTACCTGCCAGCCCTCGCTCCAGCATGAATTTTAAGCTGCTGGGTCCAGGACCCTAACTATGGTCAACTACGTGGGAGTCCAGCAACATAACCACTACACCATCTGCTGGTCTCAACTGTTCCATTTTCTAAAAAAAGAATTATTTACTTAATTTCATTTATCATTATTATTATTATTATTTTTAATTCGCTACAGGGCATACAAACTTACCATTGAGAGTGAATGAGAGAGAGAAAGTGAGAAAGCAAGCCATTAAGTCTGGAACTTGAATCGTAGTTAGCCATGTGGGAGTCCAGTGCCTTAACGACCATGCTATCTGCTGGCCTCTGAAAATACTTTTTTAAAGATTGAAAAGTTTGGGGGACCAGCAGGTGGCGTGGTGCTTAAGGCACTGGACATTCTCACATTGCCGATCACGGTTCGAGTCCCAAACCTGATGGCTTGCTTTCTCACTTTCTCTCTCTCTCTCTCTGTCTCTCTCTGGTCAAATTAAAATAAATGAATGAGTAAATAAAATTAAATAAATAATTATTTTTTTAAAAAATGGAAAAGTTTGGGCCAACAGATGGTGTGGTGGCTAAGGCACTGGACTCCCACATGTTTGTTCATGGCTCAAGTCCCAAAACCAGCAGCTTGAAAATCATGCTGGTTGTTTGTGCGTGTGTACCTAAAATTCTGAGAAGAGACGGGATTGTAGTGTGGTGATTCCCTGTAGGGCATGATTTCTCATTTTTCCTCTCTCTCTGTCTGTCTCTCTCTTTGGTGAGTGCACGTGCTCTATTTCAAAAACTGTAAAAAGAAAATAAAATTAAAAAACTATTTTCAGATTGACATTGTTCAGTAGATCCAAATGTTCTTTATCTGTACTACCTAATATCTCCTGATTGTTCTTTGTTTTTTTACAATTTATTTAATTTTATTCATTATTATATTTTTATTTTAACTTTACCAGAGAGAGACAGAGGGAAAGTAAGAAAGCAAACCGCCAGATCCAGGACTCAAACCATGGTTGACCATGTGAGAGTCCAGCTCCTTAACCACTGTGCCACCTGCCAACGCCCTGATTGAGCTTTTTCACATATTTCCTGAATGTTAATTTCAGATTCTGTCTCATTACAAAGCTATTACATTAATTTGTTTATTGGGGCTACATTATTTATGTAGATTAATCTAAGAATTAACCTGGATTTTTTTGCTGTCCAGGGACAGGATATTCTGTACCATTGACTAAGTCTCTATTTTTCAAACAGTTTTTTTTTTATTTTTTTTTGGAGAGGTTTTTGCTATAGGGCGCATGCCCTTGCCAGAAAGACAGAGAGAGACAGAGATAGAAAGTGAGAAATCTCCCTCCAGGGGGAATGGCCAAGCTGCAATCCCTTCTCCTCCATTCTTCTCTCGGGATCTTGGGCACGCACGCACATGCACCCGGCGTGAGTTTAAGCCACCAGGTCCAGGACTCGAACTGCGGTCAACTATATGGGAGTTCATTAACATAGCCATTATGCTAACTACTGGTCCCTCAAACAGTATTTAAAGTTTTTCATGGGGCCGGCAAGTGGCATGGCGGTTAAAGGTGCTGGACTCCCACATGGCCAACCACGGTTCAAGTCTTGGACCTGGCGTCTCTCTTTCTCACTTCCTCTCTCTCTCTCTGTCTCTCTCTGATCAAACTGGAAAATAAAAATGATAATAATAATAAATAAAGTTAAATAAAATAATTCTTTAAAAAAACAGTATTTAAAGTTTTTCTTCAGAGAGATCATGCGTGCTTATGTTTATTCTTAGACATTTTATATTTTATATAATTACGAGATAAATTTTATAAATATAAACTTTTAAAATTGGGACCAGCAGATGGCTTAACAGTTACACTGCTGGACTCCTACATGTCGTTGACCACAGTTCGAGTCCTGGACCCAGTGGCTTGAAACTTTACTCCGGGGTGCGTATGCATGCATGCTTAAAATCCTAAGAGGAAAATGGAGGAGAAGGGATTGCGGCATGGCCATCACCCCCGCCCCCCCCAGGAAGAGGGGCATGAGTTTTTGCTTTCTGTCTCTCTCTGTCTCTACGGCAAATGCATATACCCTATAGCAAAAATCTCTCTTAAAAAAATTGAATAATGTATTTTAGTCAGAATAAAAAAAAAGGAAGAAGTGAGATAAGTTATGAAATAACTTATTTTGAAAGAAGTTATTTTGAAACTTAGTTGATTCATTTTTGGTGAATGCTAGTTCTTTAGACACTTACAAAGGTGAGCACATGTGCTCGCCAGAAAGACAGAGACAGAGAGACAGAAAGCAAGGAATCACCGCCAGGGTGTGGGGGTGATGGCCACACCACAAGCCCTTCTCCATTTTCCTCTCAGGATCTTGGGCACTCGCCAGGCGTGAGTTTAAGCCACCAGGGCCGGTACTTGAACTGCGGTCGACTACATGGGAATCTAGCAACATAGCCATTACACCAACTGCTGGTCCTAAGACTTTTATTCTTCTTCTTCTTTTTTTTTTAATAATTATTTAATTTTATTTATTTATTCATTTATTTTAATTTGGCCAGAGAGAGACACAGAGAGCGAGAGAGAGGGAAAGTGAGAAAGCAAGCCACCAGGTCCAGAACTCAAACCATGGTTGGCCATGTGGAGGTGTTCAGCACCTTAACCACCATGCCACCTGCTGGTCCCTAAGACTTATTTTTAATTATTGTTCTGTTTTCTGCTACTAACTACCGTTATTATCTTTTACACTTTTACTCTCTGAGCCTTGGTTTCCTCATATCTAAATTGAAGAAAATCCAGATCCCATCTTACCTGAAGTCTTTCAACTCGGCTCCTATTGATTTTGATATGATTAACTTCCTAGAGTTTTTTTTTATCTGTCCAGGGAAGCCCTCTGATCCAAGCAGTTCAAGACTGTCTGAGCTTTGGAATTCTAACCCCCTGTGGCTAGGCTGGTGGACCACTGTTCACCTTCCAAGGCTAACGTGTTGGTTGGGTAAAGGTTTAGGGCCTTGTCTGGAATGGCTTAAAGTGTTCATAGTTTGTATTTGGGAGTCTGCCTTTCCTCCTCATTTTCTCCTCTGGACCCTTAGTTCTTAGACAGCATCCTCCAGGCCCCATGTGTTTCCCAACGCCATCCTCATTGTCAACTCCTTCCTTTTTGTCTCTTAGATCTCCATACCTGTCTGCTCCAGTCCCAAATATCCAGGGGAGATAGTTGAGTCTAGGGGCTAAAAAAGAAAAACAACTAGCTTTGCAGTTATTCAGGCTTGTATTCTGACCCATCTTTCCCTCTTATCAGCTGTGTGGCCTTTGGTACAGTTTAGAGAGAATAAATGCTAAGTGCTAACACATGAACTCCAGAAGAAGTCAAAATAAATGGTCTTCCCTGTTAGTTAGTAGTGGTGCTTAATACATAATGCTGTGTGCTGGGCTCTCTAATTGGGTGAGCTTTTATGCATGTGTCACTGAATCATCAAAATAACTCCATTAGGTAGCTATCAGTAGTAGTCCACTTTGTAGAGGGGGGAAACCAAAGCCCAGGGAGAAGTGATCTCAGTCACGCAGTCATAATTTAAGGTCAGTTTTTTGTCTCTCTAAGCTGGCCTTTTTCTAAGGAGTTGAACAGTTTTTCCCTTAATCCCCATAAAGTGGTCAAGAAAGTAAAAGCTTCTATAAATGGCAATGAAAACCATCCTTATTGTGAGATTAGCACTGTTTAATCGATGCAAGTGTTCTTCTGCATTATCCAGTACAGTAGCCACTAGCCTCATGTGGGAATTGAGTGCTTAAGATGTGGCTAGTGAGACTGAAGAACTTCATTTTCTACTTCACCTGTTCATTTATATGAGCCCACATTGGACAGTGCAGTTCCACATGTATGACTGCAGCTCAGTTCCATGAAATCAGTAGGGAATGCTTGTCCTTATACCCCTCCCTCCCCCTCCCATGTCCCCTTTCCCCCATTAGGTAGGTTTTACTTTTGAACAGAGGATACCTTCTGAGTTTAATTTTTATTGCTTCTTTAATTCTAACAGTGTGAAGAGTGCCAGTGCTGGCAGCATGGGGTCTGCATGGGATTACTGGAAGAAAATGTGCCCGAGAAATACACCTGTTATGTTTGCCAAGACCCTCCAGGTAGAGATTTCTGGAGTCAGGGATATTAACAGTGTGTAGCCTTTTCTTTAGCACAGTTGGCTGTGAGAAATTTTAAGCATCTGTGTTCTTGAAACTCATTTCTTCAGCACTGGCCAGGTGACGACTCCTCCTCCTCTCTTCCTCCTCCTGTTTTCCTCCTCCTCCTCCTCACCTTTGTTGCCAGCCCACCTAGGGGCCAGCAGTCCTGAATTTAACAGTAAGAGAACATGTATATAGAGGCTCACCTAGTGGAATGCCTAGCCTTAAGCTAGAGCTTCTCCTTTAATTTTTGGAGAAAATATAAAAATATACCACCTTAATAAAATTTTAAGTGTGCAGTACAATATTGTTACTTAAGAGCACAATGTTGTATAGCAGATCTTTAGAACCTTCATCTTGCGTGACTGAAATTCTATGAAAACTATGGAATGCTTTATAAGTTTGCATGTCATCCTTGTGCAGGGGCATGCTAATCTTCTCTGTACTGTTCTAATTTACTATATGTGCTGCCGAAGCAAGTATTTTTCTCTTTTCTTGAAAGCTCATAGGGATGCGGGCTCTGTTTCGGCTTTTTGGGATTTTCAGAGGGGTAACCTGCCTCTGCTCCCTGTGTTGACATCTGCCCTCTGTTGCATTTGCGAGCTGGAAGGGGAAAGGCATAGTTTGTAGAGCCTGTCACCACCCAAAGTAGTAACTTAATTCCTTTGGAATGGTCAGTTTTATGGCTTCGTGAGCCACCTGTGGCTTTTGGGTGCCCCTTTTCAGAGGAGGTGGATTACAAATTTTTGGTTCTTCTCTTGCTGTCGTCGGGATGGTGACATTGTCTCCCTTCATCACCTGTAAGTTCTCTCCCTGAGCTTCAGTCCCAATTCCCTTACAGCTGGACAGTGGTTGAGAGCTTCTGCTTTTGTTGTTCCTTTTGGTGCTAGGGGTTGGGCCTAGTAGGAACTCCTGCTCCCATATTTGATTTTGAGGAAGGAATTGATGCCCAGAGGGCACAAGTTATTTTCTTAATCTTATAAAGCATATTAGAATTAGAACTGGCTTGCAGGGCCAAGTTTCCTGACTTTGCTAGTTGTGTTGGGAACAAAATAGGGAGTCACTACAGTTCATTTTCCAGCAAGTGGATCTTCCCTGGACTTGAGGACCTCTGTTGGGACACTGTCTCTGTGCACTAGGTTAGTCCATGGATGGAGAAGAGTCTGCCTCCATTTGTACCTTTATCCTATGGAAAGAGTTTGATCAGAAGATTAGACAGGTGAGCAAACAAAGACTCAGAATGGGCAAGGCTGGCCCAAGATCTCCCCAGCAGTTAGTGTCAGACAGGTGATGCGAACCAGTTTTCTTGACCTTTGTCTTGTAAAACAGGATTCTGCCCTGAATCCTGCTTCTCTGGCCACTGTTTGCAGGAGCTGCCTTCGAGGTTTCCCATGAAATCCTGAGGGCTTTTTAAGGGCATATTTTACAAATCTTTTTTGTTTGCCTTGTCTTTCCACATGTTCCCTTTTAGGAGTCACCTAGGACACACTGTCTTTATTAAATTCTATGCTCTGTCTGAACCTCTGTAACTTCAGTCACCAAGACCATGATTAGATTCTTGAACTGAGCACTGAATGTCTGTCATAGGGTCTTGTAGACTGTTTGAATGGATTGGACCAACAGTTGAATCCAAGATTTATCTTTTTAAAGGTTACTTAAAAATGTTTTTAACAGGACCAGTAGGTGGTGTGGTGGTTAAAGGCTCTGGACTCCCACGTGGCCAACCACGGTTTGAGTCCTGGACCTGGTAGCTTGCTTTCTCACCTTCTGTCTCTCTCTTTCTCCCCCCACCACCCATTCCTCTCTAGTCAAATTAAAATAAATAAAGTTAAATAAAATAATTCTTTTAAAAAATGTTTTTAATAGAATCAAGGTATACCGTTACCATGTATGAGATGAAAAAGGGCCCAAAGACCTTGGTAAGGATTACTTGAGTTATTTCAGGACTTTTATAGCCATTGGCAGGTGAACAAAAGTCTAGTAGAAAGCTGTCTGCTGGGCTTTTGGGGCAAGAAATGTTGCCAAGCCACATGTGCTTTTGTGTTCAATCCTCCCTGAGGCACCCTGTAATGAGCAGGACCCCTGAAGCTGTCCAGTTCATGTGTGGTTGTAACAGCTGGGAAACGGTCATCCAGACAAAGGAAAGGGACTTCTTCCCATTCATATTATACATCCATTCAAGATGCATTTTTGCCAAGCACTGGAATCATAACCACAAGTAAGCTGGTTTCTAGGCTTCTGGATCTTTGCAGGAGTCAGGGGCCAAAAACTTAAAAGAAGTGAAATAAACAAGAATGTGTTAGGTAGTGATAAATGCTGTGAGAAGGTAAGATTGATAAAGTAGGAAGTGACATGAGGCTCTCTGGGAGGTAGCAAAAGGCTTCTTTGAGGAGGTGATAAAGAGATAGCCCTGGAGGCCTTGGGGAATAGTGCTGCAAACAATCAGGGTACTAGAGCAAAGATCCTAAGACTAGTAGGAGTTTGATAGGTTCCAGAAACTGAAAGGAGGCCACCGTTAAGAGTTGGGAGAGGAAAGCTGAAGGATCTGGATTCTATGGGCCTCATTAAGCCAGTTAGGGCTTTGAGTTTTTTTCTGTGAGCACTAGAAAGCTGTGGGAAGTTTTAAGTTGGGGAGAGAATGATCTGATTTAAATTTAAATAGATAATCCAGGTTCCCACCCCATCTGGGGCCAGATCTGGGAAATCAGGAAGTGTACATACATACTGTACTCACTATTCCCAGCACCAAGTAGAGAACCTTGCATGCTCAAGGAACCAACTAAATGTACAGTGTATAAATAAATGAATAAAATGAACACACTAATCCATTCTTCCAGAAGTTCCTGGGATAATTATGCAATAATGATGAAACAGCTCAGGTTTCCTTCAGGCCATGTTTTAATTATTGCTACTCTCATGATTATTGCTTTAGGTCAGAGGCCTGGCTTCAAGTACTGGTATGACAAGGAGTGGCTGAGCAGGGGACATATGCATGGTCTGGCCTTTCTAGAAGAGAACTACTCCCATCAGAATGCCAAGAAGATTGTGGCCACCCACCAGCTTCTTGGCGATGTGCAGCGAGTGATCGAGGTTTTGCATGGCCTGCAGCTCAAGATGAGCATATTGCAGTAAGTATGGCACCTGCAGCTTTGGGGAGAAGTCTGGTTTGGCACAGTCTGTGGGCAACATAAATGTTAAGAACTAGAAAGCCACAAAATCAAATTATGAGACCTTGATGAATTTGAGACCTTTATTTAAAAAAAATTTGTCATATGCGTTTTTTTTTCCCAAAAACATCCGTTTTATTAGAGAATGTCTTATGTATAATGAAGTTCACTTACCTTAAGAATTCACCGATTTTTAATAAATGTATGGGTATGCTTGGGTAAGCAACCATTACTATAATCTAGGTATGAATAAACAAAATGTAGTATATATTGAGTCGTCGAAACAGTCATGTTGCATTTTTGCATGGAAAAACAGTTTGATTTGGTTTTGTTTCAGTGTACAGTTCCAAGTTTTTTGTTTTTTAAAAAATGTTATCTCTTTTTTTAAAAGTTTTTTTCCATAGGGTGCATGTGCTTGCCAGAGAGATAGAGACAGTGATAAGGAAAGTGAGAAGTCACCCGCCAGAGGGTATGGCCATGCTGTAATCCCTTCTCCTCCATTCTCCTTCCAGAATCTTGAACATGCACACACACATGCATATGTGCCTGGTGCGATTTTTCAAGCCACCTGGTTTGGGATTCAGACCACTATTGGCCATGTGGGAGTCCAGTGGCATAACCACTATGCCATCTACTGGCCCCTCTGTCTCTTTTGAGAGAAAGAGAAGAGAGATCTCAACAGGGTCCTAATGCTGCCATCCTCCTCCAGTCTTAGCCAGCCTGGATCTTGGGCATGTCAGATGTACCTGGCATGTATAGGGTGGCCCTGGACAGGAACAGGCACCTTCTCAGTGTGGTTCCAATTGCATTACCACTGCCCACCTTGCTTTGTTGTTTTTGATTGTATATATAATGTAAAATTTGCTATTTTAACTAATTTTTTTTGTATTTTAACTATTTTTATGTGTACAGTTCTGTAACATTAAGTCATAAAACTCTTTATCTCGCAAAACGGATATTTGCTATAACCATTAAACAACTCATTCTCGACTTCTTCCCAGCCCCTGGCAACTACAGTTCTATAATACATGTTTCTATGAATTTGACTTCTTTAGATATCTTATGTAAGTGGAATTATACAATATTTGTATTTTTATGACTGGCATAGTTTATTTACCAAAATGTTTTTTCTTCTTTCTTTCTTTTTTTTTTTAAGGAGGTTTTTGCTATAGGGTAATGTGCTCTTGTTGGAGAAACAGAGAGAGACAGAAAGTGAGAAATCACCCCGCAGGGGAGATGGCCACACCACAGCCCCTTTTCCTCCATTCTCGTCTCAGGATTTTGGGCACACACAAACATATGCCCAGCATGAGTTTTAAGCCGCCCGGTCTGGGACTCGAACTGCAGTCAGCCATGTGGGAATCCAGCGATGTAACCATTACACCATGTGCTGGTCCCCAAGAATTTCCTTTCTTCTTAAGGCTGCGTAATATTCCATTGTACGTATTAGGTTGTTAGAAAAGTCATGACTTTTGGGACCAGCAGTTAGCGTAATGGCTATGTCACTGGACTCCCATGTAGTCGACCACAATTCAAATCCTGGACCCGGTGGCTTAAACTTACGCCAGGCATGTGTGCGTGCATGCCCAAGATCCCGAGAGGAGAATGGAAAAGGGACTGCGGCATGGCCATTCCGCCCCCCCAGGGGGTAATTTCTCGCTTTCTGTCTCTGTCTTTCTGGCGAGTGCACACATCCTGTAGCAAAAACCTCTCTCTCCAAAAGAAAAAAAGAAAGAAAAGTCATGATTTTTTTCCTGTTTTTCTATGCAAAAATGTGTCATGACTATTCTGACAACTCAGTATATACTACATTTTGTTTATTCATTTATCCTGAACATAGGCATTCTTGATTGCTAAACAAAGTAAAATTGGAAGCTGCTAGAAGACGGATTTCTGGCAGGCCCTCTAGCATGGTGGTCACTTGGTAAATACATCTCTTGGAAGTTTATTCATTACAGAGAAGTTTTAGGCCTTTATGAGCTGGACTCTTGCCTTCAGTGGCCAGGAGTGAAGCTAAGTGTGAATTCCCAATGTGGTCACATTTCACACATCAGGTGGTCCAAGTTCATGTAAGCTCTGATAAGGACCTGTGGTTCTTATTGGGGTCTGTTCTATTGGCTTTTTTTTTTTTTTTTAAAGAATTATTTAACTTTTATTTATCTATTTATTTTAATTTAACTAGAGAGGACAGAGAGAGAGAGAGCAAGCAAACAAGCTGCCAGTTCGGGACTGGAACCATGGTCGGCCATATGGGAGTCCAGCACCCTTAACCACCATGCCACTTGCTGGCTTCCTGTTGGTTTCTTCACAAAATCCAGCAAGTAGGACCTGGAATTTGGGGGTAGGGTATGGATAGCCACTCTTCTATAGTTCCCATCCAGTCTTGCCCTGTACCTTTCTAACACCTCACCTGTCAGTCACACCACTTAGCCTCACGAACTTTCTTTTGGTACTAGCATATTCCATGGCAGGGACTACTTCTCTTTTGTAAAAATCTCTTAAGTTTCCCCATGAGCCTTTTTTATAGGAGGCCATTTTAGTTAAGTCATAAACAATGACAGAACAGTGCCCTGAGTGAATTAAGACTTGATAGGCCACTTCCAAAAGACTTCCTTCATGTCAGTTTTCCTACAGGATTTCTGGTGTCTGGCAGAGAAGGGCATCAGAGCTCTAAAATGTTAGGATGTGAGTCTGTATCTTCTCATGCTCTCTGGCATACAGAGGCTTGGTTTTAAGTTCTGGAGTTGAGTAGGGGATATCCAGCAAGTGTCTGTGCTGGTTTGGGTAAAAACAAAGGTAATGTAACAAAGATTCTCCCAAATAGAGGTGCAAACAAAATGTAAATGTTCAGGGGTAAGCAGGAGTCTAGGCCAGGTAAGTAGCCTTTCTCAGGATTCCATTCATGGACTTGGAAACTTGGTTTCCTTCTGTCTTAACTGTTTTGGCATTCTGTTGAAGATTATGAGTTCAGAGGTATGTCTAGGATCTTGGATAGGTTCCTGGTATAGGCACTGATCTTCTGCCTGGAGGAGGCCCAGAAACCCAGTCTGCTTTCCTGGCAGTTGTTTCCTTTCTTTGGCTAGAGGGATAGCTGAGAAAATATAGCTGCAGGCTCTTGGGAGCAGCATTGTCTATGCCTTCACATCTACAGTCATTACCCTTCTGCAGGAAGGCTTCAGGGAACAGGCCAAGGGGTACTGATATAGGGTGTTGGAAAAGTCATGATGTGTTGTTGCATAGAAAAAGTATGTCATGTACTGACAACCCAGTACATGGGAGTTGCTGCTGAGTTCAGAGGCTAATCTGTTTTCTTTATTTCCCACTGTGCTGGTAAGGCACTGTTGACAATTCTACTGTGGGATAATTCTTCTTTATGTGGGATTAGCTGAGCATTCCAGGATATTTAGAGTCCCTGAATGCTAAGAACTAAATGCCAGTAGTACCCCTTGGGTGTTGTGACAACTAGAAAGGCTCCACAGATGATTCATAAGTGGGTTTTGAGGAGCACCTCTCTGTCTTCCCACTTATTTCCAAACAGTTATCCCCTGGAGGCAGCGCCATCCCAGCTATAAACTGCTGGTGGCTGACCAGCCTTACTCAGGAAGCCCTCTGTTTTTGTGTTCTTCTCCCACCTGCCATCTCTTTTTTCCTTTCTTCTTTTTGTTTAGTAGTCAGTGGTTATTATGGATATCCTGGGCAATAGAGAGTTAAAAGGCAAAAGATTTCTAAAATAGCAACTTTTAAACTTAAAAAAAAAAAAAAGAGTCCATAGTCAAGAAATACATTTTGTATTGCTACGTGTATTAAAATGAGATTAAAATTGCCTTAGCTCTCTCCCCCTCTCTTTCTGTGGCGAGTGCATGTGCCCTATAGCAACAACAAAAGGAGATAGGAAAATGAGAACGCACACCTCATGGGGGACGGTAACACACAGTCCCTTCTGTGTTCTCTTCTTGGGATTCTGGGCGTGCATGCACACATGCCTGGTATGTTCCCCAAGCTGTGGACACAGGACTTGAATCATGAGGCTGACCATGTGAGATCCAGCTGCCCCAAACACAACACCACCAGCTGGCCTGAAACTTTATTATTAATGGCCTGTATATAGTGGAGCAAACCCTTGAGACATTGCATTTTGGTAATTAAGTGACATTGCATGCCAGGATCATTGTGACTAATTATTAATAAGTTAAGGTTATTTTTAGTTAGCCACATTTGAAGAACACTTTACCACCAACCGAGCAGTTTTAGTCAAACTAATTCACTTAATCTTTATAAAATTCAGACAGATAACAGGCAGGCAATTAGCCCAGTTCATAGACAAGGGAACCTGAGACTGGTTGAGTGAGTTGAGTGGGTTATCCCAGCCATGCTGCCAGTCAATGACTGAGCTGAAGTACTAGTCAGGTCTTCTGACTGCAAGTCCAGTCCCAGTCACTGTGTGTGTCTATGGTGGGAGCTCATGGGGACGTGTCTCCAAGGAGACTGAGGATGTAGCCCGTGGTAATTTATAGCCAGGTGGCCTGGGTGGAAGGCGTTGTCCCTGTTAGCAGAGTAATTGGGAACTGAGGAGTCTTCCTCCTGTTTGTCCTCCCAACAGAAGCAGGGAGCATCCTGATCTGCAGCTGTGGTGCCAGCCTTGGAAACAACACTCAGGGGAGGGGAGATCTCATTCCAGACACATCCATGTCACTGATGCCAGGAACAAGGAGGAAACCCCAAGCTATAGAACTTTGAACGGGGCAGTGGAGAAGCCCCTGCCCCTGCCCCGGTCTGTGGAGGAGTCATATATCACCAGTGAGCACTGCTACCAGAAGCCCCGCGCCTATTACCCTGCTGTGGAGCAGAAGCTGGTGGTAGAGACGCGGGGCTCTGCCCTTGAAGAGGCAGTCAATCCCCTCCATGAGAATGGTGACGATTCCCTCTCCCCACACCTGGGCTGGCCTCTGGACCAAGAATGGAGCAGGGGGGACAGTGACCTCAAACCCAGCTCCCCAAAGGTATGTGCCTTGCTTATACTGTTCTTCATTCAGTGTTCACGTGCTTCAGAATTCTCCTCTGGGGATAAAATGTTCTGTGGAAGATACTTATTAGTAGCACTGTCTTCAAATTTGCTTATCAGAGCTGTTTCTTAGTCTGTTCAAATAAGGGCCAAGTCAGTACCAACAGATGGCCTAATGGTTATGCTGCTGGACTCCCATTTAGTCAACTGTGGTTCAAGTCCTGGATCTGGTGGCTTAAAAAAAACTCATGCTGGACAGGTGTGTGTGTCCCAAAATCCAGAGAGGAGAATAGAGGAGAAGGGATTGCAGCATGGCCATCCCCCCAGGGGGTGATTTCTTGCTTTCTGTCTCTTTCACGCTCTGTCTCTGGTGAATGCACAGGCCCTATAGCAAAAAAGTCTCTCTTAAAAAGGGGGGTGGGGAGCAGGAACCAGCAGTTAGCGTAATGGCTATATCTCTGGACTCCTATGTAGTCGACCGTGGTTCATGTCTTGGACCCGGTGGCCTAAAACTCACGCTGGGCGCATGTGTGTGCGTGCCCAAGATCCTGAGAGGGGATTGTGGCATGGCCATCCCCCCTGGGGGGTGATTTCTCACTTTCTGTCTCTCTGTCTCTGTCTCTGTCTTTCTAGTGAGTGCATGCACCCTATAGCAAAAAAACCTCTCCAAAGAAAAAAAAGAATTATTTAATTTATTATTATTACTATTACTGTTGTTATTATTATTACTTAATTTGACCAGAGAAAAAGAGGGAAAGTGAGAAAGCAAGCCATCAGTTCTAGGACTTGAGCCATGATTGGCCATGTGGGAGTCCGTCACCTTACCACCACACCACCTGCTGGCCTCCTGGCATGTCTTTCAATTTGCTAGCCTGAGACTTGATTTGTGTAGTTGTCTATGTCAGATCCAGCTGCCTCAACCACCATGCTATTGGGTGACCCTACCTTGACTTTTAACATCCCATAACTGTTATAAGAAGGGCCCATTTTGTCAGAATATTTGCTGGTTTCATCAGTTTTCCCAAGAGCCATTCTTAGTTTTTGTTATTCAAGTCATTCTCTTCTGGAACTGTCTGTGTCATCCTTACTGCCAATATTTTCATCTTTCACTGTTAACTAGTCTCATTGTGCCCTGTTCTCAGTTGTCAGCCAGGCTCTGTGTGCCTTGGGTGCTTCTCTGTCCTTGTCATCCTTGCTTTCATAGACTTCATCCTGTGGCTTGGTGTCCTCAGCTTTAAATGTATTGCAGCGTATTGCTGAGCAGGAGCGTCCTAGATGATGAGCCTTTCAAGGGTGGGGCTTGTACCTCATTTATCCTTGTGGCTTTGCAGTGTCTGAACAGTGTTGGGCAGTGGTGGCAAGGACACAGTCGTTTGAAAGAGACCCAGTTTCAGGTCTGGGGTCAGCCACAGATTCTGAGCAGGTGACTTGGACTCCCTGACCAGGTGTCTCCCTGTTTCCTCCCCATGTAGAATGGGGCCGGTGACAGCGTGCCCTTCATTACTGTGGAATATATATGTGAGCCGCTGTTAGCACATTGCTTCACACACAGTGACCACTGAGTAAATATTAGCTAGAAACTATTCATTTAAAATGATCTCAAACCCCAGAATGGTTTATAGTCCCATGGACTAGGCATATTTTCTAAGGGATCTGGCACATAACACAAAATCAGGAAATACTGGTGCAAAGCAAGGAACCAGAGTTGAAAGTCTCTTCCAGTGATAGTGAGCTGACTGCAAGCCGGTACTGTTCTTAATCCCTCCTCTTGTTTCACCCTGCTGA